GTAAGAATCCTTACCTCGTCTTCAAACGTTTTCCTCTCGCGTCTTTTAAACAAAAATACGCGTCATCAGTGTGGGCCCACGTTGGCCAGTTTTGCTGGGTCTTAGCGTCGGTTTGAATAAACAGTCTTGGTTGATAGCTTTTCAACGTGTCATGACGGACGACTAAATAAACAGGAAAGAAATAATAACGCGCCTTACATAGTAAAAGGGTTTAAAGAAAGAACAAGATAAAGTTATCGAAAAAAATTTTTTGTTATGCCTTTTTATGTAATACAAGTACACGTCATGCAATCACCTGTTTCAACCAGATAATTACGATAAAAAAAAAACAGACCAATCGGTCGCCACCGCAGCATCAGCAGAAGAGGACGCTACCACCACGTGCCTGTCCCCATTAAGAGGGAGGTTAGCAACAACCGAATTGAAGGCCGCCACATCCTGTACCCGGTCCAAGTATTAACCGATCAAGAATATTTAAACAAAGAAGGTCAAGCATAAAAAAGTAATGAAAGAACAAAACAAAACTGCGAATATAGGTCTCAACTATATTAAGGATTAGTTAAAGTTTTTGTCGAAAATTTGAAGAGCGTACGCTTCCCAATAGCCACATTGTATGTGCAATATTGCCTTAGTTTGTGCTTATGAAATTTGTATGATTAAATGTCTTTTTTTTTTACTATACAAAATTTTTTTCAATTGTTTTTAAATAGCAACCAACCGAAAAAAAAGTTGACTTGTATTTATCAAATTTATTATTACTTTTTTATATTCTAAACGTTTTATTAGTTTACGGCGATAATATGTGAACAACAGAATATCAGAAAGTTATTTGTGGATAAGCACATATCCTTCTTTGAATAATCGATAAGTTAGCCAACTATTTCCCTGTATTATTTTAGCCTAATTTGTGTTTAATTATGAAATGACGTAATACAATTACGGTTTCAACTGCGGAAATTTAATCAAAACCTCTTGTACGCGGTTTACGACTCTTTGGCAAGATACTAAGCGGTTTTCTAACTTTACAATGATATGCAATTACAGCGCTCAAACTACTTTCTCCCTTCTAAGTTTGGCTGTGCTAATACGGCGAGTGAGGGACAGAGAGCAACTTTGCTTTATTTGGAAACAATATTTTGATGTGCTGGTAGTATCGAGTTTGTAGGTTAGATATTAAGGACAACTGTGGCAATAATTGTCAGCCACGGTGTAATCCATTTCGAGCTGCAGGACCACCAGCTTATAGCAGAAGACAGTATCCATTATTACGATAAATGTTTAAATGTACTAATATTTTTTAGAGGGAGCATGCCTCACAACTACGACACCGCAACGAAGCTCAGCAAGATATAAATAAACTTATTTCTACTAGTTAATAAATTTTCACTTTGGAAAAATTTATGCCTTTTAGTTTAGCAATTGGCTTAACAACATATTTGACTATATTACATTACGACTTTGATACTAGTCAAGATAACTTGTTATTTTATATTAAACTTCATGTCATTAATATTCATATCAAGAAAACAGTCTTCCTATTGAGTCAGGATTAAAGCTGTGTACACTTATGTTGGTTACCGTACATATACGGAGGCTCAGGTCTTATTATTGAAGAACTGGACTTTACACATGTCAATGATAGAGGGTATTGATATAGAACTTTCATACAATATCGAAATAATGTTTATATACTTGAGGGTTACCTCTGCTCATTCAATTGTTAGGCAATTACTAAACCCAGATAATAATTATGATGCTCTTGTGATATTTTAGTTTATGATTAAGTATCGTTTACTTGAATCTTGTGCATAAGAATGCGTAGGTCATGATACATGTAAAAGGCCTCTATCAACACAAGACACTAAAGATTGTGTATAGACATATTTAATTGGCTTCATAAGCAGCCGACTTTACAACGCGGTCGAAAGTCTGGGGAAAGCACAGGAGAAAACATCAATGATTTAAAACTTTATTCTTAGATTTTCATTACTAAAACGTTTGATATCGTAAATAGGAAAGGTAATAGTTGCTTTCATTACAAGAACCATAAACGCGCTAAGTTTATAGAAAATGATAGCAGATTTGACAAAAATGTCATCATGGTGCAAACAAATAATGAATTTTAAATATGCATCAGAGGTTTGTACTCTTTGGATCCACGTATTTTGCAATCTGTGTACTTCAAATTGACTCGGCAGTCTGTCATTCAGTCATTAATCTACTTGTTGTACTTGTAAATAAACGTCATAGATTAACGCATGGTTAACAGTGTAACAATAATTTATTGAACATGTTTCTTTACTTCTTATCGTATTGTCTAATCATAATGTTTACCTAGATTAGAGAAAGGTGTCTTGATAATCCACGAATACACGGTTCATTGTAAGCACATTTCAACTAATACGCTGAATGATGATAATAGCAATGCCATTGATGCTAATAAATGGTATTTAGTACAACGCTCGTACAATTCCAGATAATAGGAATAGGAAAGACAATATTAAACGAGAGTTGTTAACTCCAAATAAAGTCATCGATTGTCACAAGATAGAAGGCCAAAGCCGAAGCTACATATCAAGACCGATTAATTGCGTGCTCTGCCTAATTAACTATACGACAAATCAGTTGTGCTTTGTGATTATTTCAAAAGTGAACAATTTCACTCGTTGGTTGCACGGCATGTTAAAGTTTTAAATAAAAATTTTTGTGCAAACTGATTGGATAGACTTAAAGCTCCGAATTATAATGACTTTTTGTTTATGCTTAAAGAACGTATCATCTTAAGGAGATGAAAACTCGACTGCTTTACCCAAAAATTCTCTCCAAGTTTCGGGATGTGGTGTTTATTACTATTACTACAAGTTCGGTTGTGCTCCGAATACAGTCATATATTAATATATCGTCTTGTTACTATTTCCTCCACATGGTGCCGCATATCGGAAATGATGTCACAATTTATCAACTGAAAATCAATTGGATTGCCGCGCCAAATTCATTGTTATCCATCAGAGTGACGAGCGGGTAATAGTCACACCACTCACACATTTACTGTCTGATATAATTACCCATTCCTTTCTCTCTTCCACTCCAACTATCTTCAACTAGAAAACACTCTTTATTCATCACCACCACCCATACTGTTATAAAGGCCAACCGCTGTCGTTATCAACGTACTCTTCTCTTGTTTATATATAACCTACTCCTCAAAACATAACTTATCCTTAATATAGACAGCACTTGTCGTTGCAAGCTGGTCAACAATGTCTTCCAAGGTTAGTAACACTCGACTTTACATTTAAACTTTCGACAAGCTTTACTAACCACGTCAACACGTTCCATCGCTACAGTCAAAGCTAAAACAGTCCTCCTTCAAATCAGTCTCCGCCTCAGACGGTGAGCGCAGTTTACATTATGGTTCTCGAATCGTACTGCTTCATTTCTTAGACAGCTAAGCATAGTTTGTTTTCAAACAGAAATAAAATACCGTCGTAAATACAAAGAGCTGAAAAAAAAGATCAGAGAGATGGAGGAGGTAACAGAACCGGATCGGTTTTCATCGAGTAATGTTGAGCGAATTGACCTGAAAATTCTTTTATTTAACGATAGGATAATGAGAAAATAACATTAAAGTTAACAAGAGCCAAGAAGAACATACAAAGACTACGAATAGAGCGAAGGTACGTAGAAGAATGGAGTTTTAATTAGAGTCCTGCTTTTGTGATAATACAATCAATATTGCGAATGTGTAATCGCAAAGAATAATATTGTCAATTCTTCATACATACCAAACCATACAAGTTGCAGCGCAAATTTGATTTCCAACACATCGCTCGTATACTATTTTACTCACTATTTTCTTTTCTCTCCCGCCACTTTCTTCCTCTCCAAAAAAAAATATTGATTTCGTACTTCCCTTCTTGCCTTACCCTTTTACCGCTCAGTTTTCTCTTCGAACGCCTTGAGCAGACCCAACCTCTAAATGATTCTGAATCAGAACAGTCGTCTCGTGCATTACACGTTGAATCCGAAGATGATTTGAGTTCGGTTAGTAATAAAGAAGATGATACGGGTGTGAAGAGGGGTGATGGTGTAGAACAAAAGGATTTGGTTGAGTTTACGGAAAAGCCGTTACAAGATGCATCGCAAGTTTGAAAAGCGGTGGAGGAATTTGAAAAGGAGAGGAAAAGGTGTAACGAAAGAATTAGGGTGAAATCGGGGAAAAACTTATTGTATATAACTTGCGACAGAGCACAATATATAAGCACGTTGTGTTGTTTGTTATTTTATATGCGTAATGTAACTTTTTCGATATGATACCCGAAACTTTCATATTCCTAATTCGATAATCACGCCCGTGTCGCCTGATTGAATTATCTCTCGTTCAAATATTTCAAATCCCGTTCGTTATTTATTTAATTTACCCTAAACCATTCCGTTCTTCGTACGTCTCGACTGTTTTTTACAGACAGAAGAAGGGACAGCGGAAGAAGTGCCAACTGGAGGAAACAATAAAAGAAGACGCGCACACAAAGATCCCAACGCACCTAAACGTCCGCGAAATGCTTTCTTGATGTACTGTCAGATTGAGCGTGAACAAGCTAAAGAAGAAAACGCTAATAAGGGGTTCCAGGACGTCACGAGGATCCTCAGTCAAAGATGGAAAGATCTGGTGCCGGAAGAAAAACAGGTAAGGCTTGTTGGAGAATGGGACGCATGAAGAGAAAAAGTGAACTAGTTTGTTAGAAAGACCGCAGAACTTAAAAGTTTCTAATCATTTGATATTACTTGATAGTAGCTACATTATAACAACTAATTGGGCCACAATTTTCTTTATATAGAAATATTTTGACATGTATAACAAAGAGAAACAACGTTATGAACGTGAAATGTCTT